CCAAATCACATTCGAACGTCCCCTTGCAGACTGCCTGCAGAGTAGTTGATTCCCATGGGCGACAAACACTATTCACTCATCTTTACTTATCTCCAACCCCTTGCCCTTCCTTACCTATAAATACTCCCATGTTGGGAGCTTAAAGGGGCATTCTTCTTCTTGTAGAGTAAAGGGGGAGCAATCCTTTTTCTTGTAAAGTAAGAGAGTGTTTAGTAATCTAGTTCTTGAACATTCATGTTTATGTTTTCATTTTGCACTTATATCAACCATGATGGAGGCTTAGACTCCCCTTATAGTTGAAGTCTTTTATTTACTTCTGCTAAGTCTTTACATTCATGTTGTAACCATGATAGAGGCTTAGACTCCCCTTGTAGTTGTACTTGCTTTTATTTACAAAGTATCAAGAGAGATAGTTCATCTTTTCGTTGTGGTGAAAACCCTTCAAAAGTAACTAGCTTTCTTCTACTTTTATTGTTCATGCATTTCACTTCCATTGCTTGAGCATTCTTCCTTCTTAGAAGAGTGAAACTCTTCCACTTTTCTAGAGCTTTACCAAAGCCGTGAAGGGTGGAAAGTGATTCACTTATTCTTCATTGAAGATAAGCTCTTTGTTTAGTTTGCTTCACTTAGTATCTCCTCTACCTAGAGGAATGAGTAGCATTCACTTTTCTAGTTTTGTCAAGGCCATGAAAAGTGAGTAGTTCCTCATTCACTCTTTAATAAGAGGTGATGAATATGTAAAGATTATCCGAAAGCTATGTTTGTGCAACTTCTTCATGCTTCAATGGTTTATACTCCACATGTTCATTGGGCGATTGAATGTACCTAGCAAAGATTGAGGTAATTTGTATAACCCAAGGCTCTATCTATGATACGGATGACTCCTGCATAGAAAGGTTCATTTGTTNGAGGTATTTTGTATAACCAAGGGCTTCTTCTATGATACAAATGACTCTTGTATAGAAAGACCCGTTGGTTCAAGGCAAGAACCCCGGCTCTTCATAACAATCATTCAATCTCCACCATTATTGCATTTTATTCAAAGAATGAACCCTTAATTCCATGATTGGATGCCTTGTAGAAACACTTGCTTGTTTGTAGACGGGTTAAGTCTCAGAACATACAATTCTTGTAAACTTCTAGAAAGGTTTCGAAATCATGTGTTTAATTTTCACAATCCATCTTTATATTCTAATTAACTTGTTGTTGACATGGGAGTTAAAGGGTGACTGTTACATTTTGAGAATCTTATATTTTGTCTAAAAACCTCTTGAAAAGAATCTTCTATTATATTCAAGAAACCTCACCACTCCAAACTCTCGAAATTTTCAGTTACTTGGTCTCTATTATTGCTTACTTCAAAACACTAATCATAGTTCCCTATAGATTCGACTCCAGACTTAACCGGATTATTACTACAACTTGACCACCTGCACTTGGGTGTACACATTTCGGATCAAGTCAGCAACAGCGGGGGTGGTGCTGGGGTGGTGTTGGTGGTTTGATGTGGCAAAGGTGGTAGTGGTGGTGGTGATGGTGATGTTGGTAGTGGTGGGATGGCGGCGACGGTGGTGGTGGTGGTAGTGGTAATGGGAGTGGTGATAGTAATAATGATGGTGGTGGGTCAGTTCCAAACATTACCTTTTTTAAAAAAATAAAGTATTTATGAGAAGTTATAAATTCTAAAAGTACTTTAAAAAAGTCTACTCAAGCACACTCTTAGGGCCCTATTTTACCTATTAAATTTAAGAGATTAATATTAGCCGTCAGATTAAATTTAAAATTTAAAGATATCTTAACTGCGAAAAATAAAAATTATTTTGTTTATCTTTTGAGATTAGAATTTTATTGTACGTTATTATATACATTAGTTATTGTCCGTGTTTGAAATCACTGAGTAATAAAAAATGGTCAACATTAAATATATTTGTATTTACACCCAAAATTAAATCACAATTATAGAGGAAAGAGAAAGGAATTTAAGCATCAGTTATAGTTGGTTGAGTAGTGGTAATGGTGGTGGTGAAATACGATGATGATTTTGGTGCGTGGTAACGACCGTGATGATGGTGATAGCCATGAGTGGCAAAGGTGATGGTTGTGATGGGTTTTGTGTGACAATGGTGGTAGTGGTAGTCATAAGTGGTGGTGGTGGTAGTCATAAGTAATGACAATTGTGGTGGTGGATATAGGTGGTGGTGGGCGACGATGATGGTAATTTGTAGTGGTGGTGGTGAGGCGACGACAATGGCGGTGGTGGTGGTAGGTTATGGTGGTGGGCGATGACGTTCGTAGTGATGGTGGTCAACACAGGTGCTTTTGGGCGATAGTCTAATGGCTAGTGGTGAATGGTCGTGGTGATGGGCAACGATGTTAATGAGATTATTGTGGTAATGATAATAAATATAAGAATAAGATGACAATAGTAGTGGATAGTGACGGTGGACAATGATGGTAGCAATTGGTGGTGGGTGGTGATGGTGGTAGTGGTGGAGACAGTGGTGTTGGTGGCGGCAACGACGGGGGTAACAACGACAATGGTGGTGGTGGGAGTGGCGTGGTAGTGATAGTGGTGATGGTAGGGGGTGTTGGTAGTGGGAATGCTAGTCGTGGGGTGGTGATGTTGGTGGGGTGGCGACAGTGATACTGGAGCAATGATGGTGGTAGTTTTTGTGGCAGAGGTTATACTAGGTTGGTGATGGTAGTGGTGATGGTGGTAGGGGGTGGTGGGTAGTGATGATTGTGGGGCGATGGGTGTGATGGTGGTGGTAGGGTAACGACAGTAATGGTGGCGATTACGATAATGGTGATAGTTGTTGTAACAGAGGTGGTGGTGGAATGATGAAGACGGTAGTAGTGGTGGTGGTGGTGGTGCTGGTGTTGGTTGGGCGGTGGGGGTGATAGGGATGGTGGTTGTAGTAATGGTGGTGGGGTGCTTATAAAAACTATTTTTTTCTTAAAATTTTTTTGAAAAATTATAAGTTTTAAAAACATTCCTAAAAAGTCACCTCAAATATACTATTCGGATCTATACTTTTTCTTATTAAATTTTAGATGTAAATATTAGTCGTTAGATTAATTTTAAAATAAANATGGGGTGCTTATAAAAACTATTTTTTTCTTAAAATTTTTTTGAAAAATTATAAGTTTTAAAAACATTCTTAAAAAGTCACCTCAAATACACTATTCGGATCTATATTTTTTCTTATTAAATTTTAGATGTAAATATTAGTCGTTAGATTAATTTTAAAATAAAATTTAAAAAGATTTTAACTACAAAAAATAAAATTATTTTTTTTTACCTTGTAAAATTTAAATTGTATTATAGATATTTTTATAGAAAATACGATATTATCGCAGCAACACGATTCATGTATCTGCTCTCTTTTCTTTTCTTTTGTTCCTCTCCCCGTGATATATATATATATATACATTCCTTCCATCTCTCTTGCCCTCTCTCCCCTCTCTCTCTCTCTCTCTCTCTCTGGTTCCCCCACCATCTCTCTCTCTCTAACACCACCATGGACGATTCACCAACNATCTCTCTTGCCCTCTCTCTCTCTCTCTCTCTTTCTCTGGTTCCCCCACCATCTCTCTCTCTCTAACACCACCATGGACGATTCACCAACAGCATTACCCATAACAAAAACGTACTTATCATTAAAACCCAACAACAGCATCAATAACAAAAGCCAAATGCCAGAGTTGAAGAAAAGCTTATTCTCTCCTTCATTCAGGGCATTATCATGCAAGACTCGGAGATCAATGGCATTGGCTTATGTTTTCACCTTCATTTGCGTGGCATGCACCGTCTTCTTTGTCTTCAACAACCCTTCTACGAACCATTCCTCCATTTGGTTCACAAATATCCTTAAAAACAGGTCCCAGTTTTCTTCCTTTTTCTCTCACTACTTTTTCCCAAATAATACCTCCCAAAACCCATTTATTCCAAACCAATTTTCCCGGAAAAATAATGGGTTTTCCGGGAAAATTAATAGTTCCTATATTTCTCCAAATGGGTCTGCAGTTTCTTACGGTGAAAATGGTGATAATATAGAAGGGGTTAGACCAAATGCAATGTCGAACCATACAGGTTTATTGAATAGAGAGAGTGATGGAGCTGAAGGTTCATCAATTAAGAAGAAGAGAAAAGATAATTGGTTGAAAATACTGGATCGTTGTGACATTTTTTATGGAAGATGGGTGAGGGATGATGTGAACCCCTTATATGAAGCTGGTTCATGTCCTCACATANTTCATCAATTAAGAAGAAGAGAAAAGATAATTGGTTGAAAATTCTGGATCGTTGTGACATTTTTTATGGGAGATGGGTGAGGGATGATGTGAACCCCTTATATGAAGCTGGTTCATGTCCTCACATAGACGAGCCCTTCAATTGTTTTCTTAATGGAAGGCGCGATAATGCTTACGAGAAGTTCAGATGGCAGCCTAAACATTGCAACTTACCAAGGTAGTGAAAATAGCAGAGTTTTATGTTCATTCTGTTATAGGTACATTTTGTGAATATGCGTTTCTGGGTGTTTTGTGTAGTGAGATTGGATTAATTGAACTTGTTTTGCAGGTTGAGTGGTGGGACTTTGTTGGCATTATTGAGAGGGAAGAGGTTAGTGTATGTGGGTGATTCTTTGAATAGGAATATGTGGGAATCAATGGTTTGCCTGCTTAGAAATTCAGTGCAAGATAAGAGCAGAGTCTATGAAGCTTCTGGCAGACAGGAATTTCGGACAGAGGGTTCGTACTCTTTTGTATTCACGGTATGTTATTGCAGTTGATTTCCATTTTGTATAGATTTTTCCATGATTTGATCAATATTGCTTTAGTAGTTTTACTCATTATGCTTTGAAAGTGAATTTCAAATTATATTAGGATTCATCAGTGCAAGAAGCAATTACAAGATGCTAGCGGAATACTGCATTAGTTTTTTCATCAATTTGATTTTCTTTTGTTATGCTAACTTTGCTGATTTTGGATTGATTAGGATTATAATTGTTCAGTGGAGTTCTTTCGATCTCCATTTTTGGTTCAAGAATGGGAGATGCCGGAAACGAATGGATCAGCTGGATCAACGAAGGAAACACTTCGGCTTGATCTGGTTGAGAGATCATCTGATAAATACAAAACCGCAGATGTCCTTGTCTTTAACACAGGCCACTGGTGGACTCATGAGAAAACATCTGCCGGGTATTCCTGTCTATATCTACCTATCAACCCATCTATCTTGATGAATGAATATGAAGGACGTCTCATTTTGGATTTCATTCTTCTAGTTACTAAACTATGATCTTGAAACTTAATGGAAATTTGTAGGAAGGGTTACTACCAAGAAGGTAGCCATATTTATGGTGAATTGAATGTTGTTGAGGCATTCCGGAAAGCTATGACAACATGGGCAAGATGGATTGAAGCCAATGTAGATCCCGTGAAGACCCTCGTTATCTTTAGAGGATATTCAGTCTCCCATTTTAGGTAAATGAAACACGTTTGGTCCTTTTGAATTTAGAAATAGATTGTGCAAAACTTAGAAGCTCATGGATTTTTTTTAATTTTTTTTTGTGATTCTTGTTCTATTTACAGTGGTGGAGAGTGGTATTCTGGTGGGAAATGTGATAACGAGACTGAACCAATCGACAATGACAGAGATCTATCACCATCACTCTATCCTCCAATAATGGGAATGTTGGAACGGGTGCTACAGGGGATGAAGACACCAGTCTTCTATTTAAACATTACAACGATGACAGATTATCGCAAGGATGCACACCCATCAGTTTACAGGAGGCCAAATTTAACAGAGGAGGAGAGACAATCACTATTGAGGTACCAGGATTGCAGCCACTGGTGCCTTCCCGGTGTCCCTGATACGTGGAATGAACTGGTATATTCTCAAATCTTGAAACATGATCACAAGCAACAACAACATCGTCATCAACAACAACAACAACAACAACAACAAAAACGACAGCATGCAGCAGAAAAAAGGAAAGGTAAACTGGAAAATACAGCTTTGTAATACACATGGATAACACCACTGCAGATCAATTAATGTCTCTGTAATACTAGTTTTTCTTGATGAAAAACAAGAAAAGAACTGGAGAAGATCTAAGGAATGGTGTTGTTTTAGAATGAAGGGGGTTGTGTTGAGTGGGTAAGAGATGTAACAAAGGGGAAGGCATAGAGGTGAGGAACTTGGTTTCATTTCATTGATGGGATGTTTGCCCCATTTCTTATGATATTGCTTATTTAATGACAATGTAATGATTATGCTTCCAAATCGTAATAATCATATGGTGACTATTCTTCGCCATTAGAACACAAGAAAACATTGTCAATGTTTCTTTTTTATACTCTTACCTCTTAGCTCCCACTAAAGGGATTTTTTTTCTTGCTGGCACAAAAAAAAAAAAAAACAACATGATTGCATTTGGTGGCAGAATCATCTCTACATTTTTTTCTTCACGTGTTTGTAAATTTAATTGAATTTTGGCTATTGTATACCTCGACCAATCACATTTGAAATTTGCTGATGACATGCATCGCTTATTGCTGAATTCTGGAAAAACATATTTCTTCATGAATATATGGTCAATTTTTAATTTCCAGCTACCATTTTCTAATATTTGTCAATGATACAAACATGTTGCCTGAACAGTACGAAGATCTAGCAAGATGATATGTTCATTTTTGCTGAAAATCAAAGGTTAAAATGATCCTTGTAGAACAATGGAGGAATCTGGCAGTTTTTGGTTATTACTTTCTGCATTGTTATCCCAAAATTTGAAAAAGATCATACAAATTGGCCAAGAGGTTCAGGTTGTAAAGAATTGGATATGGTCCAGAAGAAACAGAAAAAAGCCTTTTTCCTATCACCCAGTTTTCTTCGATGGGAGGGTAGATATGGCACTTTGGTTCAATGTATAGATTATAGATGGGAACCTTTCTTCCTCTCCAATAGCTGTAATATCGTTTAAGAAATATTTGCTTGAAGATTGCGAATCTCTACAGTACAGTCTACAGGATTGCAGACATTGCTGGCTCCATGGCTTCCCTGATGCGTGGATTAAGTCCTTTATGCTTGGCTCTTGATACATCACAGAAAAGAGGTTCCCGGTAGAATATACTTGAATTCCTATGTGCAAATATAAAATTATGAAGAAAAAACATAATTGCATATGGTTATGCGAGAGGGTATAGTGATGGGCATTCTGGTGTTAAGTTTTTGGATTTCTGCCATCTATGAATTTACCCTTGGTATCTACCTGCCATATTTATATAAGTCTTTTGCCTTAAGGATTGTAAGTTTCTTATATAATAATATTACTTACAACATCAATTTTATGATATAAGAGTATGGGCTGAAACTTTATATCTCTGTTTTCATGATTGGAGCATCAAAGTTGATTTCTTTATCTTATAATAGGAAAATATGAGCTAAAAATTTATATCTTTGCTCCTTATTTTTTCCTTTATTGTTAGCCTCTTAATTCTGTTTCCAGTACATAACTCATTAGTCAGCTGATGTCTAGCTTTGTTTGCACCTTCTGGTTAATTTCTTCAAGCTAAATCATGTGCGAGTGAACTTCTTTCATGCATGANCTCTTTGCTCCTTAGTTTTTCCTTTATTGTTAGCCTCTTAATTCTGTTTCCAGTCATAACTCATTAGTCAGCTGATGTCTAGCTTTGTTTGCAACTTCTGGTTAATTTCTTCAAGCTAAATCATGTGCGAGTGAACTTCTTTCATGCATGAATCGGTATAACTTCATAGTGCTCCATGCTGGCAGAATATACATTATTTGCCTTGTCTTTTTTGTTTTCATTTTATTTTTTGTGTAATGTTTTCTGTCTTATCTTAGTAACTTATATCAACTTTCCTGAAATGTGTCCTAGAATGCGCGATTAATTTTTTTTACCATTTTCTTAGAAGTCGTCTATCTCAAAAAGTGAGGTTTTATTTGATAGGACCATATTTTTTATCAACATTTAATTAGATTTTTCTTCCCACAATTAAGCTAGAAAGGGCCCCTGTAAGTTAGCAGCATGGCTTTATTTTTTTGCAAGTATACAGCTCTGATGATTGTGAGCTGTAGCTGCNAAAGGGCCCCTGTAAGTTAGCATGGCTTTATTTTTTTGCAAGTATACAGCTCTGATGATTGTGAGCTGTAGCTGCCTGGATCGTTTCTTACATTTTGAACCATCTTCATGTTCTTCGTCTGTCTGGGTTGCAGTGGCTAGGATATAATCAGAGATATTGCTTTTCCATCCTTTTTTCTTGTTTTTGGTTTTCCTGCTTCAAACAAAGTAATGCTTGCTTTTTCAAAGGTTCAGTTCATATATTCAGATTGTAAAAGTAAATTTATCAGATCATAAATATCGGTTTCAGAGACTTAAGATCTGAGAAAAATATCTCAGGTCGTACTTGTTATCTCACTCATTTGCTGTCTACCTTCCCACCCTTACCCTTAATATTTGGTTTTCTTTTGGAGAAAACAAGGTATCTGTAAGAACATAATCTATAAGGATGAAATTACCTTTATAATATGTGTGTATGAGTGGAGATATTATTCTCAGATCTTAATTCTTTGAAGGCAACCCTCCCTCATTCACTGGCTGATTGATCTCTGGAATCTGGATTGCTTCCCATGTGCTGGTTCATTTAATTGAAGCTTGTCTCAAGATTCTCCAGTTTGCTCAGTTGAATTTAATTATTTTTCTTTTCAGCATGAGAATTTGAAGAAACGACAGATACTAAGGTTTGATTTTGCATTAGATTTTTATAATTCATCATTAATCCATGCTGATTTTCCAGAAATTTCAGCACAAATTTCTGTCAGATTANTACTAAGGTTTGATTTTGCATTAGATTTTTATAACTCATCATTAATCCATGCTGATTTTCCAGAAATTTCAGCACAAATTTCTGTCAGATTATTCTGTGCATTTTTAAGAAGAGAATCCAATTGACTGCGTGAGTATAAAGAGTATTTTCTCNTATTCTGTGCATTTTTAAGAAGAGAATCCAATTGACTGCGTGAGTATAAAGAGTATTTTCTCTGTCTAGAAAGTTTTGTCAATTAGAGCACTTAGCTACAGATATTTGAATCGCATACTCAAATATGAAAAAATAATAATTTGCTGGTAAAAAAACTTTCAATTCAAGTTTTGCACTGGTATTAAGGCTGAAGGAAACGACCATGTTATGCTAGTATAATTAATCATGTGAAGTATTCAATTCTTCCAGCTAGTATTGGTTTGAGTTTCTAGAGTCTTGAGGTTTATATGCTTTATGCTGTCTTCCTAAACCATGCTGAAGTCCAGCTATAGATTGATTGACTCACGAATGAGCAGGGATTACATAAGTTGGTAACAGCCATGTATTTAGTTGCTTTTGTTCATAATCAAAAGTACATCTTTATTGAAGGAATGTGTGTGCACATTGGAAGCTATGACTTTTAATTACTCTATTGACTATTCAGATTGTAGAGTGGATCCATGATCTTTGCATTTGGACACTTGTATGCAAATTCCTTATGATTTTTATGATTGTTGGATGACCCTTTTATTCTCTTTTCATTCTTAACTATATATATTATAATAATTACTGATGGGTCAAGCCTAAAATAGCCCAATCTATGTGCACAGTCCAAATCTCAATTGAGAAGCTCAACCTTATTTAAAGATCCACCAAGCCCAACATAGCCCAAGATCAAGTTAGACTCTTTGCTTAACCACGTCATCAAGGGGGAGAGCATGAAATGCCTTATCTGCACGCCGAAGGAAACGGTCCACCCTTACCATATGTTTGACTGCATCTCATAGAGAGTTCCTCAACCACCTCGCTCGTTGAGAAGGGATCGCGAGCTCCATCGAAATGGTTGCTTAGTCATTGAAGAGTAGCCCCAATCTGTTAGAGGGCCACTATAAATTGCACGTCCTACCAACACATGGAAAAACACACTGATTACCTGGGCATCACACTTTCCTTGAGCACGACTCTCTCTTCTCCTTCAAAACTTGTACTCTCTGCCCCCCACTCCCTTGAGTTAATAAAATACCCTGCAACTAAAAGCCATTGAAGAGTGAACGTAAGTCAAGCTGACTGAACCACTATAAATTGTCTGTGTCTCTCTATCTCCCATTATTAATTTTCTTGCATTTATTATTCACACTTGACAGGTGGTGTGCAAAACCATATTGGGCATCATCAGTTTGGCATCGTCTGTGGAAAGAAGACAAAATTCTCAATCCTGAACATTCCATCCACTGAACCAATCCGATCACTACCTGATCCATGAACCAACACGAAGACAGTCCACCGTGAGAGGAGGAGGTTACTCCTCCACCAGCCAACCCTGTTCCGAATGCTCCAGCTCCGAATCCCCAACAAATGTTGGAGAACATGTAGCAGCTGGTGGGCCAAAACCAACAACTGCTGCAACTCATGTTTGCTGGACAAGGAGGAACACAACTTGGAGGTGCACAACATGGAGGACCCCAAGGAGCTCCACGCCTAGGCGCCCCCTTGGGAGTCCCCTTGGGCGCCCCACTCAAGGGAGCACAACATGAGGGAGTTCCACCTCCCTCTCCTCTTGCTTCCCATAGAGAGGACCCTCATCTCTAGGAGGATGAGGGCGAGAACCAAAACATCGAGCATGGAAGTCATTTTCATGATCATTCCAGAGGAGCTCCCAATCATTGGGACGAGAAAATCAAGAAAGTACAAAATCAACTAGGTGATGTCTTCAACGCCATGAAGGCACAGGGATCCGAGACTGTAGACCACCTGGTAAGGCGTATGGATACTCCTTCAAGCATGATGTAGCGAATTACCCCCTCCCTCAAAAGTTCAAAATGCCATCTGTGGAGACCTTTGATGGAACAAAGGATCCACTAGACCACCTCGACACTTCCAAGACTTTGATGCAGTTGCACAACGTACCAGACGAAATCATGTACAGGGCATTCCAATCACATTGAAGGGGTCTGCCCGACAATGGTTTGCTAAGCTCTCCCCCG